TCGACGGTTGGACTCCATGATCTTAGAGGTCTTTTCCAACATTAATGATTCTATGTCCTGATAACTTTCATGAAATGCTTCTTATATAAGTTCAGTTAGTTGAAGATGTTATTTTCGTCTGGATGGATTATTCAAGTACCAAGGCTTTAACGGGAGGCCCATGCCAAATAAATAATGGAATGCCTTGCAGAGACTGCTGAGTATTTTTCAGTTTCACAATGCTACAACTTAGCAACCGATGCTGAACAGCTACAGGGCAAGGGAGAGATGTTGGGAGTTCTCACTGATTTTTTTTTTTTTTAAATCAGTGAGAAACTGCAAGGTTCTTATCACAGAGAAACTGTGACACATTCAGGAGGTGCATGGCCATTACTTTTTTTTGTGCAATGAAAGTTGAGACGTTGTGTATGTTATCCTGGCTGCAGCCATCATGTTTTAATTGCAGAAGCAGGGGAGGGGAACTAATTAGTGAGAGCACAAGCCCTCTAGTAAAGATACTGCAATAGGATGTAGGAGAGGAGAATTAATTTCCTAATCTTGTGTAGTTTTCCCAATGACATCTCATGTTCCTACACCAGTTTCTCCATTTGTAAGGAAAGGTAACCTGTTTTCTAGTTTGGGGCTCTTTTTTAAAGGAAGAAAGACTTAACATCAGACTGTTTTTGAAAAAGAAAAAAAAAAAAAACCAACCCAACCCAAAACATTCGTAATGGATATTTAGGCACGCACTTACCTTTCTGAGGGGCTATTTGCTTATATTAATATTGACAAGAAACAATTTTCTGTCATCTGAACTGTTTGTGAAGAGCTTGAATAGTTAGCATTCTTAAAGTGTCTCCATGACAAAAATGTTTTTAATAACTTATTTCTGCTTTCTGAGGAAGCCTGAGCTTATTTTATTTTATTTTATTTTATTTTTTAATTTTCTTTTTTTTTTTCTTCTTTTTTTTCTGTTTTGGTGGGAATCATTTAAGATCAAGACTGGGATAAAAGAGAGGGGCAGAGTGGTGGGGTGTACGCACTCTGCTACTGCCCTGGTACTGTGGAGGGTTCCAGAAATGCCAAATGTCTCATTCATTAGTATTCAGAAAACCCAGACAAAGAAAGCCACCTTATTGCAGCAGTACAGTATGGAAAAATAGTTGTTTCATGAGCATTGCTTTTGTTTTCCAGAGGAGCCTTTTGCTGAGAAACTGTGATTGCAGAATGCTTTGTCTACAGCTTTAGCTTTGTGCCGAGCTGGTGAAAGGGAGAAGGAGTAGTCATTCTTGTGCACAGCTCTGGTGCTGCCCAGCAACGTGGTTTTACTGTCAAGGAAGAACAAGCTCATTTAACAAGTGGTAGGAGAGCACTGATTTTCTTAATTCTGTTTTTAGAGCGAAGCAGCATGTGGGTAGATTTGAATGGTCAGGGAGTTATTGAAACTTGGCTGGAAGAGGTTGATGTAATAATTATTTCCAGTGTGCTGAAAGGGTTGGAGCCAACTAGACAACATTTAGCATAGCCACAATTTCTAGCTGTTGAGAGTAGAGCTTCAGCTCATATGGAGAAGACAGGGATATACTAGGAGATTTTATATGTTAGCCTTAGATCAAAACTGAAGTCACAATAATACTCTTAAAAATATATTTTTAATTCTTCTGGTCTGTTTTCTTCTACCATGGAAATAAATAATTTGGGGATGCTGTACTCCTAGGGCAGGATACCTGCAGCTTTGGTCGCAAGATCTTGCTCATTGTTTTCCCCAACACACCTCATTTCCCTCTGCCCCCTGAATGTGAGCGTGAGCTGTGACAACGCGGGCTGAAAAAGAAATTCTGTAAAATGGGAGCTGGCGTTTACGAGGGGAAGTGGAGTCAAATGATACTGCAACCACTGAAAATGGTGTTTGCATTGCTTTACTTCGTGACATTCTGGATTAAAAAATAATCCAAAAGCAGGCTGAGGGAGGAGAAGAAGGAACATCAGCGTCGATGACGGTTAAGCCCGAGGAACTGTATGTAAAAGAGCCATGGCTTTATACAGTTGTGTGCTAACCCAAGCCGTCGTATCGCACCCATCAGCAAGTTCAGTGCTCCCTCTCGTGGCAGATTCTGACCGGTAGATCCATTGTAACTCATACCTGTTAGTGGCAAAATGTGCTTATGAGAAGTATCTGGCATCCAGCTATTTTAATGCTACTGTATGTACCAAGCTTAATAGACTTATAAACACAAATAGCACTGAATTCTTTTTTATTGACATTGGGGGAGAAAAACCTTTCACCATCTGATTGACTGAAGTTTGCCAAATGAAAATAGACAAAACAAATGTTTATGTACGTGCAAACATTGCAGATCAAACTGCTAAAAGAAATAACTAAAAGACAGGTCTTGAGCTAAGATCAAGCAGCAGAAAAATAGCAAATAGGTAAATGACTATTAAATAGGTCTTACTTTGAAACTTCCCATTTAAACAAAGAATAAACAACAATAACACCACCAAATAAAGCCACAGCAGGTAATAGTTGCTCTTCTAAACTTTTATACACTATATATTTATCATTCTGTCTTTCAGTTATTTCCTCTGATAAAACTGACTTTTGTGAAGTCTCAGCAAGGCCATCTTGGCTAAAAGCATGTTAGACAGGAGCCTGTCTAATGCCCTGTTATAATGAAGAAATGGTGAGGTTTGGCTTCTTTTTTCTTTCATTTTCTTTGTTGAATATATCTGGAAACAAGAATCTGATTCTATGCAAATATTAGATTTAATTTTCCAATGCTGGCTGGTGTCTGAAGATCCTGGAACGAAAAGGTGGCTCTTGGTAAAGCAAGATTCTTCTTGGTCCGCAGGTAACATAGAAGAAAGTTTTTGTTCCTTTGTATAAATCATGTTTTATTAAATTGCCTTTTTTTTTTTTTCTCTTTTGTAAACAGTTCTTCTGGGTTTATTTGTTTAAGAGGTGAGCCATCATGGTGCTTCTGTATAGATATCTGACATTTCCATTTTGTCTTTAGAGGTCCATTTTGGCTCCAGTTCCAGGTTATGTCGTTCTATTATACATCATCAGAGGCAGGTGTTTAGCTTTAAATATTGACAGATTTTCTCAGTAGGAACATGTTGAAGCTTCTAACTCTGCTAAACATATTCATTTGACTGTTACAATCCAAAAACTGTAAAAATGGTGGAATGGAAAGATACAAACAGTATTATTGACACTGTATTGTCAAATGTTTGCACTGAGACCCCATGTACCATAGATTTTATTTTTAAAAAATCATATTTATATCCATTTACATAAAACTTACACATTTTAAAAGAAATACATACACAGTAAATACGTAAATGTCTAGTATTTTACAATAAAACAGATGGAACAAT